GTGACGTCGGAGCAGCTGGTGATGCTTTTGGAGCTTCTCCTCGAGGAAGAGGAGCTAAGCGTGGAAACGATGCAAGCTCTGCAGAGAACTTACAACCTGCGGGATCAAGACGCTGAGGTAGGACCACATACACACACACCTACACAAACACACACATGCTCAGATAAGTGAGCATATGCATCCAAGCTCCATAATCTCCTCCAATAATAAAAAGTAGAAGGTTTCCTCTCTCTTTCCATCCCAAGGCACACCGCTTAGTAATGTGTAGTAAATTCTGCTGTAATAGCAGCTCTCTTCTTTACAGCCACCATTACCGACTAAATCCCACAACTATTCGCTTCATGTTTTAGTACTGCACAAAGTTCCTTAATGGTACTATTAACAATGTTTGTGAGTGCGTGCAAGTGTGTTTCCTTGTCTGTGTTTGTGCTCTGCAGCTGTGTGTGTTGGCGGCTGAAGAGTTCTTTACTGTACAGCGCCGCCTCTCAGTACAGGAGCATGAGTGCGAAAACACAGCTGCGGCAGGGCCCATAAAGTGTCCACTCTAACCTCCATCGTTAACACATGGCTTGTCTTGAAGAGAAAAATTTGATACATATTTAGTATTTTACAAGTTCTTACTAATTATATGAGCTGTTTTGTTGGGGCAGTAATGTATATAATGGGGCTCAGATGTTCTGCTGTACATGGTCAGTTGAACGGTTATTGTATTGAATCCAGACATCTAAAGTTGCATCCAAGGACATTTTTATTGTTTAAGTTCCACTTCCACATAACAGGCCACTTCAAATCACAATAAAAATATTTCTGTGACTTTACCCACTTCTTGATTTTACTGTCTTGCATTTAATTTTAGTACTTGACCTTGTGGTCACACGCCGAGGCCACTTCGCGTTTGGCCTTGGGTCCAGCTTTAGGTTAAGGCCTCTTTAGTCAGACTTCCTGGCAGATGAAAGCAGATTCTCATCTGCAATTTCCAGGAAAAACTTTCAGTGTTCGCTAAAAATACACAGGGCCATTATGCACATAGTCATGCATGGAAGTGCGCACACACTCACACACTCTCCCTCTCATACACAAACATACACACCTGCACACACCTGTCTGAAGGCAATGGTCCTGTCCTAATGTTAGTAATCTCATTCAGAAGAGGTTAATCACCTACGTCTCTCCTTATAAATGTGGCCATTTATTCTCCTCCTTTCTTTCTCTCCCTTTCTGTTCCCCAGTCTGATTGTATTCGTCTTCTCACTCAGCTTTTCTTTGTCTGGTAATGCATCCTCTTCAGAAGGATTGATGATTGATCTGTTTAAAATTCTTGGACAAATATAAGCCTGAGTGCGGTTCAGCTTCTGTAGCCCCTCGCTATTTACCGTATAGGGAACAAGAGCTTGACTATGAAAGAATATTGGATTATAGAAATGATTCTTTTGGCTTCTGAAGAGTGGTTAGTAATACGTCGACTCAGAAGGCATCGATTGTTCACCCTAAAATGTATTATCCAAGCCCAAATCCATACAGATACAAATCTCCAGCAAGTATTCTGATTGTATACTATATTAATGTCAGACTTTCCTGATTTGCTGTTTTAATCAATTCTATTAATCAATTTAATAAGGTATTTTGTCATTACTAAAGCTTAATCTGATGACAAAAGCATGACATGCTGCTATATATTGCTCCACCACCTGTTAGTTGCCGAGCATGTCTCGCTCCAAGCAATCGAGAGAAGTTTATAATGTTACGCTGTGTAGTGAAAGTAGTAAAGAAGCTTGCCTCGGAGTTAAAGGTGCAGTGAAGACTGGTGAACGAGGTCACTGTTTGTGTGTGTGATTTGTGTGAGCATGTCCACGATAGCGAAAGGAAATATGTGGCTGACCACCAGTGTGCATGTGGCAGGACTGATTTCTGGATGGTGTGAGTGACCATGAATACATGTGTGAGTGCGTCTGTGAGCCGGAGCATGTGTTTGCATGTATGAGAGAGTGCATGACTTTTCCCATGAGCCTCATGTGACGTGAGATGCGGTGGGACTCTATGCTTGCGTGTGTGTGTATATGTGTGCATGTGCATGTGTGTAGTTTCGTGAGTACATTTCTGATTTTGCGAGAGCACACATGCACGCTTTTGCATGTCAAAGGCCATCTGTCGGTCAAGCACACAGAGCTCATTGTGTGTTTCAGGCCAGGTTAGGTTTACTCCTCCAGTGACTAGAGACTTCACTGGACCACATCAAGTCTGGTTGCACCAGCCACAACATGTGAAGCGGAGACAAGGAGACAACAAAAGAGGAAAGAGTTATTAAGAATAAACCAAAGAGTGTATGTGAAAAAAACAAGTTTCTTGTGTAGCCTTTCATCACAATGACAGTCTCAGTGGGCTTCACAGACTGGAAACAAAAACAGCTCCTGAAGTGAACAAGACAAACTCCCGCAAAAAACCTCTAATGGGAAAAAATGTAACTCCCTGAGAGGGATCACAGACAAGGGAATCCCCTTAGAGCCCTAATTGGTGCCACTGGACAAATGTCTAGGAAAACAACACAAGTACATAGTGTAATGGAGCACAGATGTAAGGTTGAAAGTAAAGCTGAAACAATTACTTTATTAATTGAATCTGGTTTTACTGGTTGCTTTATCCAAACTTTTTGTTTGTAGCCTTTTCTACTTCTAGAAAAGGTACAGGTGAACTATACATTCTGGCTGGTCTTTCTTATTGTGTGACTAGTTCTGTAGCGTTAGCAATATCTGTCTGGCTGGCTTTTGGAAGACTCATGCGCAATCAATGAGTGCAGGGGCAGAATGTGCGGAGGTAGATAGGTAGACAGGCAGGTTTATCTGTCAGCATGTAAAGAGAATTTTAACACATTTTACAAAGAATGCACTTTTGATTATATACAGTTAACAGTACATTTCCTCTCTTTGGCCAGAAAGTAAATATATAAGGCTGTGCTAGGGAAACACTGTCTGTCCTGTATAAGAGTCTGACTGAGAGTCTGAGATGTGTAAGTTTGTTTGTCACAGTAAGTGCGAGCCCACACGGAGTACATTAGTATCAGTTGTAGCGTTTGTGTATGTGTCGGAATCGGTGGTGGTAGTGGAGGGTGAAGGGAGGGACGGGGGTGCAGTAATAAATGAAGGAATGTCACTGTGTTATTGCATGTGCTGTCAGAGAGAGGGGCCCAGTCAGAGGAAACTGTTCAAAAAAAAAAAAAAAAAGAGGAGGGGGTAAAGAGAGGTGCACCAGGCAGCTGCTCTGCCCCAGGGCTCTCCCCAGGAATGTAACCCAGCACAGGGAACAGCTGCTGGGGCTACGCAGGCTAGAAGGGCAGGGCTGGCACCAGAGGGCACACATACTGTACACACTCATGCACACTCCCACATTCATGAACACACATATCCTTGTTCCCATGTGTGCAGAAGGTAGAAGAGCATGTTACACTTAGCCTACAGTATAACCTTTGCTTTTTGTCATGTCTGCTGTGGGGCTTTTGCAGCCTTCCAGAGTAAACAGAGGCAGATAATAAATGGGAAAAGGACGATTTAACATTTTGATGAAAGAGGAACTAGAAAGTACTTTTGAGACCAATTAAACTCATGTTTATTTTGCAGGTTGCAGAGGTAATGTAAGGATTTAGATTTGGCTGTTGTAAATGGAGCATGCCTCAGTTTCCATTCTAATGTTGCATAAACAGGTGGAGGGCAGCGCAACAAACAAAGCAAAAACTCCTATTAAGAGTGTGTGCACAGCACTCAGGTGGATCCATTTGGCCCCTTTCTAGTATACTATCTCAAAATGAATATCTGTACAAGCGCTGTAGAAATGCCTGAAGCTTGAGCTGTTGAAACAGAATCAATCACTAAAAAATCCCACGCTTGGTCACTAAACTCTCATCGGACTAGTTTATTATCATGAGTGTGTGGAGATAGTTATGGAGGAGATTGAAATACCCAGGAAAAAAAACAGCAGAGGCAAACTGTCAGGCTTTAAAGTAGTGACACTGCTTTAAAAGATTTTTCATGTGGATTTTTTTATCGTTCTTCTGTCTCTTTTATCATCCTCCTGTCCGTCTCCTCCACAAGAGTCTATCCATATACACGTGCACTGCGTGTCCACGCCTGCGCACATGCAGACACACGGGACCACATGCACGCTCATAGCAGATGATGAAGGATGATGGCTGAGGCAGGGACAGAGCCAGTCTCTGATGTCTCCTGTAACCGCGGCAACAGAGCTCCTATTGATCCTCTGGGAGAAAGGCCAGGCATTAGTTTTCACACACATACAGTAAAAACACACCTATACACACACATTGAGAACACACACAGGCACATAGTCAGAGAATTAAAAGGGAACTTTTGAACATGAACTTTACATTGACATGGTTTCCTTTTTAAAAACAAAGTTTATGTCTGTTAATCCTCCGACTCTGGATGAATCTGTTCATTGTCAGCGTGGCAGCTTTGTCTCTCAGCTTGTCAGATGAGCCGTTGTCTTTTGTTACTGGCATTGAGGGAGACCTTATCACATTATTGTGTGAGTGCACTGGCCAAAAGCTACAAATAAAACGTCTTCCACAAGGGCAACTTTTTGAAGAACTAATATATAAAAATTTAAAAATCTCTCAGCACTATTATTTTCACTTGTATGAACTGTGTTTGAGATGAATCCCTCTAACTTCTTATTGTTAGCTGGTAAAGCATTAATTTGTGAATGAATAACATAGACTCTGAAATTACAAAGACCAGTGACCTTATATAACAAAGGAGTGATACGTAAGTGCAATTATTTTAATTTAACTTTAGTTTAAAGCGGAAAAATTGTGGGATTTTATAAAATCTCTTTTAAAGGGCCAGTGTGTAACATTTAGGAGGATTTACTGGCAGAAATGAAATATAATACTCGTAACTATTTCTGTTAGTGTAGAGTTACCTTAAAATAAGAATTAAGTTTTTGTTACCTTACAATGAACCTTTTATATCTACAGATACCATGTGTCACCTTCCACGTTGAACCGCCATGTTTCAACACTAGCCCAGACAAACCAAATACTGGCTCTAGATTAGGCTGTAGGCAGTTGTTCCTTCTACACTTGGAAGGGGATGGTGAAGCGAGGGAGCTGCAATCTGCAACTACACCTGCACGGGTCCTGCTACTAGATGCTACTAAATCCTACACACTGGTGCTTTAATGCCTAATTCCTTAATATTTCTTTATTTGATTTTTAGCTTCTGTGTTGGTCTATATTGACAGCATTCAAGGCTCTTAAATAGATTTTCTACCTCAAGGTCAAAGTTAAAATAATTAAATTAATATTTGTTTTTCTGATTCCATTAAGTGTTGTTGTATTTCTTCCTCTGTTTTGGCTTCCAGGTCCGACATCGCTGGTGTGAGCTGGTGGTCAAACATGCGCACACTCAGGCGTACAGAGACGTGGAACACTTCCTGGTTCATGACCAAGTAAATACAACTGGAGAACATTTGTCCTGTATAATACAAGCTTCAAACTCTGATTCAGAGCAGCCTTTACATAAGAATAAACTAACTGACTGTGTATGTGTGTTCCAGGCCATGGGTGTGTATCTGTACGGGGAGCTGATGGTTCAGGAGGAGCCTGAGCAGCAGGCTCTGGCCTGTCGCTGCCTCTCATTGGTCCAGGAAGAAATGGACCAATCGGCACGCAGAGTGGTGGAGGAAATGGTCCTATGATGGTCCTACATTGGAGGTGAAGTCTCATTCTCAGTTTCTGGACTAAAGGAGAACTAAAATTTCCCATCTTGTTCTTTTTATTTCTTTCAACATCTCTACATATTAGTGAAGCTCTAGTTTCATCATAGCCTTACCTGCTCTCAGTGGGACTGACTAAATATGGTTGAAATTCCATCAACAGGTCTCCTAACAAGCTGAATCAGAAATGTAAATACATATATTTGTTTAGGTTTTCAGTTGTTTCATATTCGCAGTTGTTTGAAACTAAATGCCTCTTTGATCGTCTGTAAAATGTTACTTGAACCATCTGTGGAGAAAAGAACGTATGACAAAGCATTTCAGCACAATTTCTCAAATAAGTCTGAAATACAATCATAAAAGAAAGCTTTGTGTTGGATTGATCCTGATTACATCCGCAGCAGCATACAGTCCACACTTGAGTCACTTGGCTACCTATATTTCACATTCCTGTCTGAGCCCATTGAGTGTGTGTGTGTTTGTAGACTCAGAATGGGGCCTTTTCCGTGGTTTCACAGCAGCGCAATCAGGATGTGTTTGTCAGAGAAGGAATTCGGGAATGTGTTCCTCAAACAAACGAGAGAGGGAAGAGAGAGAGAGAGAAAGGGTCAGCGAACGTTTTCTGAGGAGCTCGGGACGGTCTCTGCCTGATGTAGGGTGATTTTTATACTGTTGACCCTAAAATTCCTCTTGTGTGTATATGTGTGTGTGTTGCTGTATGTGTATGCAGTACCACAACCATCAACCACTGAGCTTTTTGACGATTCAGAGCAGTGAGGGTTTTATTGATCGCATACTTAATGCAGGGAAGATACAAATTTATGGTTCAGACAGACAGAGAAGGGAGGAAATTAAAGAGCGGAAGGGAGGACTGGAGTGAAGACAGGTCTCTTTGAAGCTGCTGATCTTTTCATAGCAGTCCTGCTATTACTGATACTAACCTTTGAATAATGAGAGCTAGGCTATTAAATTCAACTACAGTAACCCAACTATTCTTCAAAGCTTTTAAATAACACAGTATTATACTGTGGATCAAACGCTATAGCTATAGTATTGTGAGATGACTAGTGACACTATTGTGTAAATCACGTTTAACTAAAATACTTCTAGCTTATGTTGTTTTATTTTTTCTAATTATGTCTCAAAAACACTCAAACCTGCTTCATTAGGCCTGCGTAGCTGTTTTTTAAATCAATTAGATTATGAAATGTCAAGAAATTATTTAAAAAATATTACACATTGCAATGTTAAACATAGCAAACAACCAACAATCCAAAAACCAAAGATATTCAATTTATAATGATGTAAAATAGAAAAGCAGCTAATCTCTCTCTCTCAGATTTCATTGACACAGTGGCGACATAAGCCAACAACCCCACAACTTTCGTCAGATTCTGCCTTTTCCAACTGAGCCATGCTCCCTTTAAACCAGTAAAATGATCACAGACAAAACAGAAATCTCTCATGTAAAATATGCAGAGTTGTTTTAATTTTGGCAGAAAATTGTATGTTCATGTAGAATCCCTCATTTATACTGTAGTAAAAAGCCATTTAAGAACTTTTAATTCGGCCAACTGTGTCTGACTTTACATGAATTTTAAGAACATTAGTTTGAACTTAGTTACCCTATAACTCAAGTTGTATTATGGTTGTACCATACAGGTTAGTAACAACATGGAGTTAAGATTCAACTCGAAATTCAAACCAGTCTTTCCCTATTGACTGTTGTCTTGGCAGAACAGAGTTAAAAAGAAGAGAGACTGAACATAGTGTCAAGTTTAGTGTGAAACTAACCAGTTACAACATAGCAGTTAGTATTGACTTAAACCTCAAACATAGCTATACGTAACACTTCTGCATTAAAATGTCTTTAAACAGTAGACCTATGTTTGCTGAGTTATGCACTTATTGCACGTACTTAACATTTATTATCCAAATGTTTCCAACAATGTTACGTACTTTTATTCAGGTAGTGGTGCGTTTCTCCGGCCGCCTGTTGATGGTGTTATATCCTCTTTGTGCATTTGGTTGTCTACCAGTCATTAATTGACTTTTTATCCAGTTTTAAGCCACATTTTTACCAAATACTTTTTAGATCTTGGTCGTTTTGAACTACATATTTTATACTGACTAGTCATCGGACATGTGGATCTTAAGTTATCAGATAAACAAGCTGGGCTAACATTAGCAGCAGCTCGCCTGGCAGGCCCTCCGATACGTCCTTTGTCCACCAAACAGCATCGGAGAAACGCTGATACCTCTGTGGATTATTTGGCCCCCTGGTAGAAACCTGACTGCAATGATGGCCATGGTGGTAAAACTCCCATGATCTCAAACTTCCCTCCTCTAGAGACCCCCTAGCGCCAGAAATGACAATTTGTATGTTTTCAGATCAAAGTCACAATTAGCTTCTGAAATTAGCCAGCTGTGTTATCATCTCGCATGCCCCCAGTTCAGCCAGTGTAAGGTCATACGAGGCGTCTGTGACCTTGGTCAACACAGGCCGCATCAGGAGCTGCTGCTAAATACTTGTCTCCATCAACCTGAGTGACTTATAGCACTAAATCCTTTTTTAGCCTGTGACCAAGCCACTACAAGACAGGCTTTTATCTTCAGACGCACACACACACACACACACACACACACACACACACACAGACAGAGAGAGAGTCAGCTTTATGCATTTGCACAGGATGTGAAAGGCTTTCTAGACAAGTGCTCGGCATCTGGCTCTGTCCTGATAAATCTCTCTGACACACACACACACACACACACTCAAACACATACAGCACACACATATGTAGCGCCTATCTGTCTGTGCCCGCAGATCTTTTGTCATCATCCTTCACTCCCTCACTACACCTCCCCGTGGAGCCTCACTACAAGTACAGGAGGGATGGAATAGAGCAGCAGAGACACCTTAAAAAAGAAGAAGAAAAGAAGCATTTAGAGATTAATATCCTAACTTTTACTGCTGCATCCCATTGGACTGAACCAAACAAGCCTCTGTAAACATCAATGGATCATGCTGGTCAACTGAGCTCAGGTCCAGATCTCTCTCCAATTAAAATGATGGATGAACCAACCTCCTCGCTGTTTTTTCATATTGCACTGTGGGGAGATTGATTCATGTTTTACTGCTCAGTTTGTGTTCCCCCGTAGTCTTTTCTTAAGTAGAGCAGTCCTCCCCTGTACCCTTTTACACCCTCACACACAGACCACAGTACAGTGGGATTAGGCTGAGGCGGGCTGAGAGGGTTTTAACTGAAAACAACATGTCTGTCATGAGGCGCGTTGTCAGCTCCGTTTTTTTAAACCTAAAAAGAACAACCCTTTAAAAGGAGAAGGGTGGTCTCTCCCTGTCATTTTTTTCCCCTTTTTCCCCTCCCTGCTTACTCCCTCGTTCTTTTCTTCCCCCGGTACATGCCTCTGGAATCCCTCTTGATCCGCTTAATGAGGGGCATATCGTCGGGTTAGCCAAGCGTGGCGAATGGGAGAGGAGGAGAGGGGTAACCAAGGAAATAGTATGTGAGGGAGAGAGGATCTACAGGTCTGGTCTTTCTTTCACTGCGCTCCGATGGCAGACGTAAGGCAGAAGGGAGAAAGAACAAAGAAAGTTAGAGGTTTTTTATTTCAGGGTGTTGCAGGTTAGCGATGGACTGGAGCTAGACTTGAGGATGTAGTTAGAAGAAGAAAAGAAAAAAAAGAGAGACAGAGAGAGAGGATCTTGTTCTTTCATGTCTGGGCTGTGAGGGTTCCTGGCGTGCTGATTTGTGACTTATGATAAAATCACATTGCCAGGGATTACCACACAGCCCTGACCCAGTCGGCTGCCATGGCAACCACAGCCACACACACACACACACACACACACACACACACACACACACACACACACACACACACACACACACACACACACACACACACACACACACACACACACACACACACACACACACACACACACACACACACACACACACACACACACTCTCTCTCATTCGTCCTGCAGAAACTTAAAACTAAGGAAGACATGATTAGCTAAGAGTGCGTTTGATTGTGTTTGAGGAGTTGATGATCTGGAAGTGCGAAGAAGAAAAAAGGATGATGAGGGAGCCAGAGGGTCTTGGATGTGAGTGTTTTGTAAGTGTGTGTGTACATGTCAGTCTGCCAGACAGGTTTTTTTTTTATTTTATCTTCTCTCCAGCCAGGCACAGAGCTTAGCTGATTGGTGAACAGTGATTGATTTCCTCTTTGTTCACAGTGGCTAAGTTCTGCACCTGAGGAGAGCATGACCCAGACAAGCAGACAAAGGAAGACAATGAATGGGTGCGAAAGAGAGAAAAGAAATCTTTTTAAGTTTTTACAGTGAAGTGCTGCGTGTGTTTGTGCTTTTGTGAGCACACAGTCAAGTTCAATTATCTAATGTGTGTTCATACATTTCAGTCACAGAACTCCTTCCCCTTTGTCCTCCGTTTTTCCGCTCCTCTTTCACCTTTTCCCCTCTTTCTCTTATCTCATTTCACTCTTCTCCTCCTTTTCTCCTTATCCTGCATTTTGCCTCCAGTTCAGTCTAAATACATCTTTTCCAGCCTCGCTTGCATGTCTATAAAACTTTCCATAGAGACCCTGTCACTCAGAAGAATTAAACACACAAGCCTCCTCAGAAATTTAAAACGCTGTGCAACATTACTAATGAGCGCCGTGCTACGCTCTCCTGCTTTGTCTGTCGTTCTTCCTCCCTTCTTTCATCTTCCTTCCTTGCTCTCTACTTCCACCCCTCTGCTTCTGTCTCCTTTTAGTTACGTAGTATAAAAGATAATCCTGGAGATGATGCCAGTCGCACGCTCTGTAGTTCTAGCGAAGGTGAGAGCCAAGTACCTCAGGAGAGACACTGTGCTTCCAGTACTAATGAGGCCTGGGGAGACCCAAACGCTGCTTAATGCTGCTGACAGATATTTCATCAATCCGGGAGCAGTGGCCACCATCATCACCCTCATCAGTTCCTCTTCACTATTCTCTCTTTCTTACAGCAGACACTCTGTGTGTCCCAAAGTCATACTACATACTAGTTCTATAAAATATGTGCTATATACATGTAGTTATAGTATACAGTTTTAAGTTAGTATACAAAAAAACCCCAACATACTTCTTTCATTGTATAGTAAGAGGGTTAGATTGTGTGAACACACTAAATACTGAAAGTCTGCTTAGAATCACAGCAGTGTGTAGTTTGGATTTAGGACACGCTGTCTTGCTTAGTGAGCATTTTAAAGGAATAGTTTGACATTTAGGGAAATATGCATATTCGCTTTTTTGTCAAGAGTTAGATGAGAAGATAATACCATGCTCATATCTGTATGTTCAAAACTGTATGTAGTATTGCCTGACTGGTGCCAGATTTTTCATTTAATACTAATTCCACACCCTTGATCACTTTTTTTTTTTTTTTTTGTGACCAAAATACTGAGCAGGACATTTTGAATTTAACTTGGCATTTTGATAATGGAATTTCCTGTTATTTATTGGTAGACATACACTGATAGTGATGTATTTGGTACAAGCTAATATCGTCCGATTTATCGGTCTAGCTCTAGCTACTGCAGCCGGTTAGCTCAGCCCAACAGCATCTCTATAGTTCATTAATTACTATGTCAGGTCCAAAAACCAGTGTAAAAATAACAAGTCAGGGTTTTACAGGGGGTCACGTGGGACGACGTTTTCAGCGACTTCTTGTTATGGCCCCTTCTCATGTACATTTTAATAAGAAAGCATATTTTAATTTGAACTTAATAGACATTTTGACATTAAATAGTAGGGTAATTAGTATCACTGGTAACACTTGTGTTTACCCCAAAAGGGCTGGTGTGAAAAAGGTCTGTGGTTCAGTTGAGATGCAGCAGGGAAACTCATTAAAAATGTTGACGAGGCTTGCAGCAAATCAGTGTTCAGAATCATCCTCTAAGCACTTAAAGTGGGTTTTAAACTTCAAATCGCTTTGGCAGTGAAAAGAGCCGTCCGTGCATTCCTGGCTGATATGCATTGATTTCTGATCTAATCTCAGCCTGTGGAAGTTAAGATATAGAGATCCATAAAGCAGACGGATTCTCACAGAACACATTTCCACACTGTGAAGAAAAACAAGACTGAAGCATCAAGAGATGGAAACAACTTGCAAAGATTTTAGCTTTCAGAGCTTGCCATCATTTAGAGATGTCGGTTTTACTTTACTGGGACAGTTTAGTGTTTCTACTGTGGATTTCCTGCACAATATAAGCTTCTAGTGTTTTGTCTCAGACATGAGAAACAAAAGGCTGTGATCCAGTTAAAACACCCACTAGAACTATAACTTGAAAAGCAGGAATTGTCATTTGGGTTACACCACACACTCTGTTTACAGTGTGTTAAGTATTACAGAGGGAGGGTTCCCAAATTAGTCAAGATAAGCTTTAAAGACATAAAAAAAAAACAATGCTAACTGCCAAGACAATGATCAATAAATCTGTCTCACATGTCCCAAGAAATATATTTGTTTTGGAACTGTTATACAACAGCCTCCATTTGCATCTTCTTAGCAAACAATTCCTGCTAAGTGCACTCATCAGCTAACACCCAAACTGTCAATAACTGCAACTGGACTACATGCAAAGAATAATGACTTTACAGTTTAAAATACTACACAGAAATACACAGTAACTTAATGTATAACCCTTTGCTACAACATGGGTGTAGTCCACTGTTAAACGAGGTAATTGTAATGCAAAGCTATACTGTTCTGGAACGATTGCTCCCTAATCAAAACAGTGACAGATGGCTGAAAATGTATTTTAGAACTTGTCAGTCTTTTTTTGGCAATCAGAATATGAGCCGTGAGGAGGTATTATAGCGCTCTATATTCACGGCGACAAAATGGCGACTAAACGAGGACAGATGTGTGAATTAGAAATGAGGGCCATGTGGAGCCTGCCATTTTTAGACCTATATTTAGGGCCTGTTAAAAGAGTAATGACCATCAAAGGCCTGTAAAAGAGAGGAATTGCCATCAGAGCGCGTATCTGAAAGGTGATTTATTACTCTCTAATGGGAGGGAAATGGCGCTCTGCACATCAAAGGACAGAGCAACATTGTATAAAGACGCAGAAAATAAACTTTTCGGCCCACGCCACCCACACCACCTTCTTTAAACACAACTAAACTTGACTGATTAACTTTTTAATGTTGAGCATATTTTAGGGAGCTGTTGCATTTCAAAGTTTATGTTGGCAATTTTCAGTAACGCAGTATGAATGCATGTTCCACACAGAAGGTGGTGGAATGTGATTTTGATGGATTTATAGTTACATTTTATGATCGGACTCCGATATAACAATCTCATAGCCCCTTTTTTATGCCAACAATGTACCAATAATTTTGGATTGCTCCCACAATCCAGAAGTGGTCTCGCTGACATCGCGGTGGAGAGGTTTCTACCATGTCAACCACACCTTTCACCAGCTAGTGAAATCCAACAATCTCAGTGGTTTAAATGAACCTACAGTGTTGTGGTTATTTGTGGGTTTGGTAAAGCGGAACGCTGCCTGACACGCCAGCCTGAGTTGGCATTGCTTTTTGCTTCATTACAGACGCTGCAAGGAGAAAAGGAAAGAATATGTTCTCATAGAGAGCCAGCACTTCATGAGGAAGAGAGATTTGGGCTTGGCTTCCTGTGCCTACTGAGCTGATAATCAGTCCTATAGAACCACTGGCTCAGTTCAGCAGGAACAGGAGTCCAGTCCACTCATCACCGAACCAGAACACACTGGCACTGGTCTCAACAAGCTTATCCTTCCCTTTTAACAGATTGCATACAAGAGCTGCTGCTCTATTGGACAACTGAGACTTTACAAGATTTCTTTTCAGGATCTGAAATCATCACTTACATGGTGGTACCACGGTTTTCACAAGGCATGTGTATTGTGTCCGATGAATTGCATTATTTCAAGAGAATACTTTATATGTCATTAATTTAAATTGAATTAATTGAATGTGTGTGTGTGTTTAACTTTTAGACTAAAAAAACAATAAAATTAGTAATTCAAAGATGCCACCTTGGATTTCAGGGAAATAGATTTTTCATTAGTGTCTGAAAATGCATTGACTAAACACATAATAGATCAATAGTTTACAGATAAAAAGATGAAAAAATTATTATAACTTCTATGTATTAGCATTTATATCGGCAGATTAATACAAGAAACCGCAGCAAAGATATGTTTGCAGTTCTTTTGTATCTGTCAGGTATACAGCAACAGTTCAGCCAGAGGATTGTAGACGTATACCCAATGCTCTGTAATGCTCCAATCTGTACGTATCTCTCTCTTCCAGGTTGCTGACTACAGACGGAGATGAAAGGAGTTTGGCACACGGGGTGTACCGGCTTTCAGCGCTCACCTCCTCTTCCTCTGTAGCAGAGAGGACGTTGCAGAATTGCCCGGCGGTGTGAACACCAGAAGGCTGTGCTCTTACGCTACAGCCAAGGCCAACTGGCAAGTTTTAGAGAAGTTCTGTTCATTCAAGTCTAAAGACCAGTGTGTGTGAACCAACAATGATACAAGCTGTTCCTAGAGAGATACAATGTTGTTAAACTACATTATTGCTGTGGTAAGCGGGAAAAATTACATCATGTCACAGATTTTGAAATGGTAGATAATGAGAAAAGAGACATATGTCATAGAGAAAAGACACTGCACCTTTATTCATGTTTAAGAGCTGAACCTGCTGTGTTTAAGTTAGTTTGTGTGTGGCTGTGTAGGTGTGAGTTCATGTCTGTTTAGTCTGAAGTCATGATCTGGCTCTTAAGAGTTTAGACTGGAAATACTCAGGTGAGTCATGTTTTTATACATAACAAATTACTTCACTCTGGCCTGTAACAACACTGGAAAATATACAACAGAGAACACTCGGGGCATTTCTATACGTGTAAACGATGGTTTTCTAACTGCTGTACAGACAAATCATTTTTCTACTGCATATAATTTTAAGTGAAAATCTTCATGTTAAAATAAAATGATGTTTTCTTAAAATACATGCATGACTTTTCTTTCATCTTATTCCATATCTGAAAGAGCCTGAACATCAGTAAGTGCCTCATGCTTGTTATACTGGTTTTATATGCAACTAGGTACAAGTATCACAGCCAGATTGTCATTTTATAGACATCTGTATTACAGAATTAAACATTGGCTGCGTAATGTATTCATTAAAAAAGAAAAAAAGTTGAGTGAAATCCAAGTATATTTTATGTTTACAAATCCAATGAAGAAAATTGGATGTTAAATGTCTGTATTAAACAAGGTTCCTGCACAAACAGCGTACAAATGTGTGACTATAATGTTCTCTGTGAGAGGTCGGACAGGTGTTTGTTGCATTAACTGCAATAAAACATCGGAAATAACATCTTTCTACTCTAGTCAAATGACAGGAGAGGTGAGGTCTTTTGATCCTTTCATAATACATACAATTATTTAGCCAAATGTGGTAGCTAAACGTTCAATGGAGATCTTTCTGCAAACAACTCTTGAATAAGGATGGCTGTTTTGGTCTGCCAAAAAAGAACATGCACTTTACATGAAACTCTACTAATTACTCGTTTAAGGTTGGAAAACAAATATGCACATAAATCCCATCAAATAATAAGTATATCATGTACTTATTGTGAAACAAAACATTAATGATCCTGAATGAGGCCAAAAAATTTAATAATTTTGCTTAGACATCACAAAATATTTAAATATATGCATTTATTTTGTTTTTGTATTTCTGTCCACCTCCAGCATCAGTCACGTAGAAAAAACATGTAGAAACATCAGCAGTGATGTAAATAAATAATAAAGCAATAGGAAATATACAGAAGTCACATCACATTTAATTATTTACATGTTATTATATACCTGGTGCTGTCTGAATGTTTGTATATAAATATATTTTGGCACAAATAGTAATAATACAAAAATGACTGGTGTTTGGTTGTCCTGTCCTTCAACCTAAATGCCTTTCCGTCAGCATGTGTAATGTGAAGGATTTATATTGTCAATTATATGAGTGGGAGGACTCGGACGCATTGTACGAGCTGCTGCTTCTTTGCAGTGTGATCTGTCACTGCTCAAGTGTCCTTGTGGGCCTTGTAGTTGTGTTATGTGTGTGTGTGTATAATTGTAGCCTCTCCACATAATCTGTTCTCACCGTGCTGTTTTGACACACTCCTGTCATTGTGCCGCAGCATATCTACACAAGAGCATGGCTATTTGTCATTCTGAAAAGGTGCCCTGAAAAAACCCTGAGCCGAGGATGAACTCACTGCTGTGTGGTTATGTGCATTTATGCGTGTGTGTGTGGGTATGTACTCCCACCTGTTTTAGAGCGTGCAAGTGCGTGTGCTTGGTTCTCAGCAGGGCACAATGCTTCACGCCTATGCGTTAGTGTGTTTTGAAGAGCCTTGATCCTGAGATGAAGTCTGTTAGTGTCGCTTGATATGCAGCTTCCTTGGTTTAGTCTGAGCTCCAGTGAGTTGAGAACACACACTGCTTCATCAACCAGACCAGACCAATCCACCACCTGGCCACACACACACACACACACACACACAAAGATATTGTCTGTGACAAGGCCAAAAAGGAAAATTGTTTTCTGAAAATGCATTGTTTCAAAAAGAGGACTCATTATTTGTGATAGGGTTTAAACTTCAACAGAACACTAGATGATTCTAAATAAAACGTCCAGAAATTATTATAAAAAATAATATATATATTCCTATTTAAATAATTAGAGCCCATTCCACGTGCAAAAATCTAACTGTGCTGCACAAGGAATGAGAAACTTTGGATATGAAATCATGCTGAAAATGCACAATTACTTCTAAGAATAGTAGCATCCACTAAGTGGAACCTGTAGTGAGAGTTCTGTCAACCACTGTTTTCAAGAATAAGAATGTTTCAATCTCAACTTTTAAGCCCTTAAAGTACTCAGAGGAATGGAAATTTGATGGTGAGGAAAATTGTGTTATGGTTGAAAGCTCCAGTAAAGCTCTAAAGTGGACCTTGAGGTGTGATTGAACTGCTGTATCCGAGGTCAAGAATGAACTTCTCGAATAAATCACATATTTATTTGATAGCAGAACAAAATGTACAATGAGTCATGTAGTGCATGACTCATTGAATGTGTAACCACCAGATTATAACAGGTTGTTTCCTCACCGTCTGTAAAATCTCTGTTGATCCACTCAGTGATTGTTGGAAGAAAACGGCAAAGTTGACCAAGAGGTTGAGGATCAATAGAGGAGACAGGGCTGGTCGCTGAGGTTGTGGTGACAACAGAGTGACCAGTGACTGCAGGTGGTCAGCAGGAAGAGGACGAGCTAAGGCCAAGAAAAGGGAGTGTAGGTGGTCCCACGCTTCTCTTGCATGCACCTAGAAACACAGGCCACGTGATAAATTTAAGGTTGGCTGACAGATGTTTACTTATAGCCCACGCTGGAATCAAGAAGTACTGCTTTAAATATCTTTCCTGCAAATAAAAATCAATAGATTAGTAATTCATAAATGATGAACAAAGACAACCCCATGTGAGTTGATCGTACGATCATAACGGGCGAGATGGCGGCGACGACAGAGAGTCTCCCAGGGTTATAAAGCAGGCGGACAAACAGGAGACAGAGAGATGAAACTCAGGCCAGCTGGCCAGACACTCACTGGGAAATCAATACTACATCACCCTCTTCACCCGGCTCCCCTCCCTCATCTGTACCTCCCTCTCCCCTCGCCACTGTCTCATTCCCTCTCAGATAGAGGTCATCCATAATTTATTCTTTAATGTGTTATTCTTCTTTCTTTGTATTTGCTCTATGGCTTTAAACGATGATACACCAGCCAAGAGCAAATAAAAGACCATCCACATTGTTATGTTGTTGAGTTATGATACTGCACATGCTTTAGAAAGGCTATCTGATATCCACACTACCTTCCACTGCAGTCAAATCAAACAAACCTCAAAACTTCAATACGGTCTTGTTCTTTTCCATTGGGCTACAGCAGTGCTGCAAATGCAAAGGCAGCAACATAACCTGGTAATATTATGAGTAAAATGTCCATTCCAGTTCAAAATGGCTACATAATAACAAAACCTGCTTTAAGCTAAATGCTAACATGCTGAAAATGACAACGCCAACATGCTGATGTTTAGCAAGTATAATGTTTATAATGTTCACCATGGAAAGTTTTGCTAATTTATGCTAAACACAAAGTACAGTTGTGGCTGAGGGGAATGTCATTCAAATTCAGGGGATCTCCAAAGTCATTAGGATTTATCCTCTGGGGACCATAAACATCTGTAACAAATTTCATGGGAATTCAATTTCAGTTTGGACTAAAGTGGACCAACAGGCTGACGAATATGTGCACCCCTAGACCTGCTCTGCTAGCATGGCTAAAAAACATACAAAATACAAAATAATGTTGCTTTTTAGAGAAACTCTTTACCAGCTGTAGTGCTCTGTGATGCCCCCTGTTAGTGGGGTGGTGGTAGAAGGTCAGCAGCCACAGGAGGGGCCCACAGTCCTCAGGCCCTGATGTCACCAGCAGCTGGACAGCCACTTGCACCCATTGGGCACATTGAACCAGCAGAAACCAGGCCTCGAAGAGTTTGTGGTGCCCCCTATAGTACAGGAGGAGAAACACAGCTCAGCACTACAGTTAGAGAGCTACATAAACAAGTGGTTCCTCTGGGAACCGCGGTATCTGAGGGATTTTTTCCATGCTGCTGAGGTGGAAGCGCATTAACAAACGACACTGCAGCACACCAGAAGGATTGAATAATCTATAATCTTGGAAACAGAATTTAGACTAAAACAAGCCTCAACAAAGTCTAGATATGTGATACTAGAAACCTGATACTTTTCCGGAACTTTCAGAAAAATCTTGTGACCAGTTTCTGACCTGACCAAAATGTTATACTTGGATCACATGATAACAACTAACCGACCTACATGACGACCGAACAAACTCTATCTGCCAATGAAGGCTACGATATGTGGCTGAAAACTGTGGAAAAAACATGTAAGAGGAGAGAATTTCTGTCAAATTAATTATCTTTTTTTTTTTTCAATTTAAGTCTGTTCCCAACCTCTCAATTCTATACGACTAACAGTGCTATAAACTAAAGTGATTTGGGTGGTCTAGTTTAGTTCCTAAATAAATCTGGCACTTAATCCATCCCAGCCTCTCTTTTTCCCAAGGTATGTGTGTGAATATGTACAACTTTCCTGCCCCGAAAAACAGCTGATAATTGTCAGCCCAATAATTTACACCCAACTTGTTGTCCAAACAATAAAAAAAACCATAACTATACAGCAGAGAAGGTGAGGTATTTTAATACATTTGGACAAACTGAAAGGACAGCTGTTTGTCTATGAAACGCATCTGTGATGTTTTTTCACCAAAGTTTTCATAAAAAGATTTGGATTCCAGTGCGCCACACAACCCTCAAATAAAAGGGTGTCTGGGGTAATTTACATCATAAGAGCTTTATTAATGAGCCACAACTCTGAGTGGCTGCCAGTAATATTATCACCCCCCAAAACAGTGATGAACATAAGTTTTATGCTTTTACAGCATGAAATAACATCTACAAACTACACCACCCAACCTTAATTTAGGTAAGTTTTGTTTTATCTAATACCACCTCTTTATAAATCGATGCACATTTAAATGTATAACACTTCTCTCTCTATTCACTCAGTACTGCAAGATGTGGAACGACAGCCTGCCAGAAATGAGTGAAGGATGGTAGAGTACAAAAAGTGGGACAGGAAAAGGAAGAATGTGACTAGAGCTGAGATGTTGTTGCAGTTCTTCAGTCTTTAAAGATTTTCAAGAAAAATGCCAAATATTTCCTGTTCCTTCTGTATATTCCATTTTCTTGTGCTGAAATAAAGAAAATGTGAATAAAGGCGAAATTGGATATATTTGGGTTTGCAAACCTTGTTGTACTCTTTGGATTCCGACTGTGGTCCAAAGTACCCCAACTCTCTCCTT